TATGTTACCCAACACTTTGCTGAGTCTTTTCTGGCTGGTTGAATGGTCCTCCCTTGATGAACATTTTCTCTGTCACCTTTGTTTCTAGCCACCCCAGAGATTTACACACCTCCCCAAAGGGCTGTTCCATCTGTGCAGAGATAGTGTCTTACCCCCAGCCTGTGGGGGGCCTGGCATTCTGCTGCTTACTGATGGCAGCCCTTCCTGGAAAGCCCTTTGTGGCTTTTAATCCTCCTTATGGGCCTGCCCTGACATCTGCTTCATATTCTGCTGTTGACATTTACAATATTATGCTGTATGCACGAGACCCACAATACCCTGTCATCTACCTTTGTATATAGCCAGTGCTGCCAGCATACTCTCACTGCAGCTTTGCATGTGCTTGCGGTTTGTTTTGTAAGCCTTTTTAGTGGATTCAGGCCTTTTCAGCAGCTATGATACCTTATGATCTGCTGAACTTTGATTAGCCATAGTTATTGTTGGATACTTCAGGGTTTTATCCCATTTCCTATGACATTTATAATGAAGATTCTGGGTTTTTCTAATTTTTTTTTTTTTGAGACAGGTCCTTGCTGTGTTGTTCACGCTGGCCTTGAACTGACCATGTAGCCCAGGCTTGCCTGCCTCAGCCTCTCTAGTGCTAGGATTGCAAGCATGTGCCATCATGCCTGTCAGATTCTGTTATTTTTTCTGTCATATTTGAATTTAAAATAAGAGAGACCATTGAAATGTTCTCAATTTCTCCAGCATGTTCTGTTTCTCTGTCTGTGTCTCTCTTCTCTCTTTCTCAGTACTGGGGAAAGATCTGTAATACAAACTAAGGACAACTGTGTCTGCAAGGGATAAATCTCTCACGGATAGAGACCACCTCCTGGCATTGGCCATGGGTTCCTCAGTAAAGGGGTTACCTGACTTTGTAGTGGATCTGTCAGGTACTGACCTGCAACCCTGGGCTGATGATAAGATAGGGAGCACAAGATGATCCCTCCCACCTGTGCATGACTAATGACTGGTTTTGCATTCTCACTAGAAGGTCTCTTGGAACTTAGACCAGCCAGGGAGGGGCTTCTGAAGCAGGGACTGCTCCTATCTTTCCTGTCCCCAGGCAACACTTGATTCTTCCTCGTGTCCTAGAGAAAGCAGTGGTGATCTGGGCTACCACTTTGACCTCAGCTCACCTGCTTTATCTTTCTCACAATCTGGACAGATTCTCTAGCCAGGGTCACCCAGAGACCCTGAGACTGACTGATCCTTTACTATTGAACTCGCCTGTTTACAAAAGCAGGCATCAACTTGAGTGAGAGGACCCGTTTTGAGTTCATTTCCCAGGACACACCTGGCCTCCACCACACGGACTTCTTTCTGTGCAGTCAAACATGAAGCCCTAGGGAGCGAAGACAGAGTAGGCACAGTAGACATAGGTGCCTCCCAAGGGGCGCTGGACCCAAGGCTTAGATTGGAGCTGTGACAGGTCAGGAAAAGCGGAGCGTGCACCCTGTGGTGGTGAGGGGGCTCAGCATGGTGCTTGTGTTCCCTCCTGGTCTTGTGTGGCTCCTCTTCCCTTTGGTCTCCACTGCCCTTTCCTCCATATGTCAGGTCTCAGGTTACTCTTGGCAGCGGCCTGGACCCGTGGCTAGGCTCCTGCCTTGCAGTATGTGCTACAATCCTTTCTGTCTCCATATAATTGTTAGAAATATTCCTGCCTTCACTTATTATTTTAGTAATGTCTGTGTCTTCTCTAATGGTTTTGTTAATCTTTTCAAAGACCCAGCTTGTACTTTTGTATTATTTGTTTTGTTTATCTACACTTTGATTTTTACTGTGTCCTCCTATTGGCTAGCTTTCATTTTATTTTGCTCTTTTTTTAGTTGGATATTTTGAGATCATTCTTTTTAAATGTAGATTACTTACAGCTACAAATATTCCTCTTAGCATTACTGTTGGTGCACTCTAAATTTTGGTGTATTGTAAATTTGTTTTCATTTGTGCCTGGTATTTTCCAGTCCCGTGAGTCACATCTATAGATAGAAGCTAATATAGTTTGGTTAGTTGTGGGTTGTGAAATTTAAAATGATTTTCCCAGCATTTTAGATGTCATGTACTGAGAGAGACTACCTAGTACTACAGTTTTTTCAGTGACTACGTTTTTACGTTTTTTCCCAGAAGTTATTTTTTCATACCTAATGTGATTATTTTTAATCATATTGTATTCTTTGCTTTATGCTTTTGATTTCTTTTATACTGCTATTTTAAGCATACTATCAAACATACTTTTGTAACTTTTTTTTTTTTTTTTTTGAAACAGGGTTTTGCTCTGAAATTCAGGCTGCCCCTAAACTCACTCGGTAGCCCAGGCTGGCCTTAAACTTCTTTTCTTTTTTCTTTCTTTTTTTTGTACGGGATTGAACTCACAATCTTGCCCTTGCCACTGAGCTAAATCCCCATCCTATGGCCTTGAACTCCACCCCCCCCCCTTTTTTTTTTAGTGGTATCAGGAATCAAACTCAGAACCTGGTGCTTGCCAGACAGGTGCTTATTACCACTGAGCTACGTCCATGGCCCTTGCACTCTTAACAGTCTATTAAACTCACTGTTTTATAATAGCTCTGTAATCTTTTTTTAATTTGATAATTTTTTTGGGGGGGTACCAGGGATTGAATTCATGACCTCGCATTCACCAACCAGACACTTGTGCCACTGAACTAAATCCCTGGCATAATTTGATAATCTTGATCTCTAACTCTTTCAAATATTCCCAGATAGCACCCTTCTTTCATTGTGTGGTTTTTAAATTTTTTGTTGTTTTTTGGTACTAGGAATCAAACTCACGACCTTGTGCTTACCAGGCAGGTGTTTATGCCTCTGAGCTGAATGCCTGGCTTTTTCATTGTGTTTTATAGTTTACATTTTCTTTGGTTTCTTAATTATGGAACTGTCGTAAGCTTAAGTGTGCACTGGTGTGGTGTGCATCTGTGGTTTATCTGTCTACCTGAGTGACAGGCACTTGTGTTTCGGATAAGTCAAGGACGGTCTCTTCCATCCCTCAAGCTTGAATGCCATCCCCATAAAGTTAGGGGCCTTTTTTCTGTCTGTTGAAGTCTCCCAAATTGTAAACCAAGTATGTCATAGCAGTGTTCCCCCTATACTTGTTGACCAGACTTCATTGTCTTATTTCTCTAGTAGGTGGATTACTTTTGCCAGTCCGGTCTGTTTCTTCTAAGAAGGAAGTGACAGACTGTTGTAAAGTACATTGTATCAGTAATGATTGTGCTTTTCTTTTGAATTATTTCCTCATTGTTCCAGTCAAATGACTTTGAGTTCATGCTACTAGAGAAAATAATTCTCATCTTATGATAAATGGTACTTATCTTTTCTGGGCCAGTTTTTATTTGAGGCCTCACATTTTTTTGGTCTGGCTCTTTAAGTGATCCTCAATTTGTTTTTCACTAATTCCAAAATTTCTCTTTTTTCAAAGGTGGGAAGGGTGATTTTGTAGGTTTTTTTTTTTTTTTTTTTCTGTTCTTGTTTTTTGGTGTGCGGGGATGAAACTCAGTGTCTCTTGAATGCTAGGCAAATCCAGCTGCAGTTCCAACCTTATATATATATTTTAAAAGTAAAAATATTCAGATTAAACTTTGAAGGTTAGAAACTTTGAAACTATGTATGGTGGCCCAGTTATTCAGCAGGCTAAGGCAGAAGGGTTGAAGGTTGAGACTTAAGACCTTGTCTGAAAAAAGAAAAAAAGAAGGCTGGGAATCTAGCTTAGTGGTAGAGTGCTTGCTTAGCAATGAAAAAAAATCTGATTAATATATTGACCCTATGTGAGAGAAAACACACCATATCTAGGGAAAGTATAATTTAATAGTTCTTTTTTTTTTTTTTCCTTTCTTGCTTTTTTTTTTTTTAAATTTGAGACAGAGTCTCAGTAGGTAGTTCAGGCTGGCCTCAAACTCAAGGTGATCCTCCTACCTTAGTTTCCTGAGTGCTGGGATTACAGGTGTGTGCTACCATGCCTGGCTTATTTTCAATTTTAGTGTAATACTCATTAAGTTACTTTAAGGCTGAATTTAGATGCTAATATTTAACAACTCTGAAGATTATTTTTAAGAATATTAAAGGAAATTTTTACTACTTAATATAACATTACCAGTAAATTTGGAAGCCTTATTGTTTTTTATAGACAAGGTCTCACTATATAATGCAGGCTGCCCTTGAATTTCAAGTGATTCTCCTGCCTCAACTTCTCAAGTGCTGGGAGTACAGGTGTCACGCCTGGATTATTATTTATTTGGGAATGATACAAATTAGATGGGCCATGGATATGATCAAAAGTAAAATTGTCAGCCAACTGTGGTGCTGCACAACTGTAATCCTAGCTCTCCAGGAGACTGGGGCAGGAGCATCTAAATTTGAACGAGGCCTTGAGCATCTTAATGACTTAGCAAGACAAAAAAGAAAAAATTTTTTAAAAAGGACTAGAGATGTAGCTCAGGGTGGAGGTCCTGGATTCAGTGCCACGTACTAGGGCGGGGAGGAAAAGTAACACTTTTAAGTACATTGAAATCATGGGCCTGTGGCGTTGTACTCAGTTTAGAAAGAGCTTTTTTCCAGAATTTTTCTGTTTTTCTTAATTTAGTACTGGGAATTGAACCTATGACCTTCTCACCGAGCTATGTTACCAGCTCTTTTTTTTGTATTTTGAGACAGGGTTTCACTACAATTTCTCACCTCAATTTAATTTTAAAATAGTGTACCAGATATGGTGGTGAACACCTATAATCCCAGCAATTGGGAGGCAGAGGCAGGAGGATCATTGCCAGTTGGAGACCAACTTGGGCTACAAAGTGAGTTCAAGGCCAGCCTGAACTGAATAGTGAGACTGTCTAGAAAAATATATTTTTTTAAGGTAGTTCTGTTGTCAAAGATGCTTACAAAATGAGAGGGTAAGACTGAGGCATGAAATGTATTGATAACTAAATTCTGCTTCTTTTTTTTTTCAGCTCCGGTTCCCAGCAGATTTAACAGACGAGTATCTGGTATGTATTTTTTTTTAATAAACACTGCTAAAATGGTATTTTACAGTAGGAATACCTTAGGTAAAAAACTCATCTCTTAAGTAAACATAACACAAGAAATAAAATATTATGCCAAAAGTTAAATTACATGTATTTCCTTTGATTCATGGTTCATTTTAAGTTCTGAACATACATGTATGTATTTTTACATTTCCATATTAGTGTGGTTTATCTTTTTGTTATTAGTACAATGTTTTGTATTTCCATGTTTATAAGTTTTTATGTGTTTGTAAGTTTTTACAACATCTAAAAAGTTTATCAAGTACTGTTGATGGTATTCTGAATTATGCTGCCATTACCTTCTCTTGTGTACCTTTTTGAGCCACTAGAAGTATTTCCTTAGCTGTAGAGCTAGAAGTGGCATTTTCTGGTCAGAGACGGGGCATTGACTTTACTCTTTGGCAGTTATGCGGCGGGAGAAAGGACCCTGTACAGGCCTCTTGAGCACTGTGGTTTAATCATACCCAATTTGGATACAAAGTAGTCCATCAGATCATTTTAGTTGGAGTTTCTTTGGTGGTTAACAAAATGAATGCTTTCCAAATATGAAAAATCTATTTATAGGAGACTGAGGTAGGAAGGTCCCTGTAAATTCCCAGGTCATCCTGGGATACAAAATGAGATCAGAGAAACGCTGTCTGAAAAAGACAAAAGCAAAACAAACAACCCAAGGAAACAAAGAAAATGAAAAATGGGCGTTCATATTGTGTCAAGTACTTGTCTACTTCAATCCATACAATGGTTTTCAAAGGGAAATCACTGTTGGCTCCTTTATGTGGAAGCCTGGAACTTTGCAGCAAATTACTGGTCCTATAGCTGTTTGATACAAGGAATGCATTAGAAGATAACTCGCCTCAGCTGAAACAGGTGTATTATGAAGAGGAAAAAGGTTTGCTGTATTCTGTGGACATCAATTATCTAGATCATTCTTGAGAGAAATTTTGTTAATACAAAAACCTTTTTGTTCACTAGATAATCCATTAAATACATGCTGTTCATACTAGAAGGTATGGTGTTTAAATGAGGGTTTATGATGGCATATGCTTATAATCCCAGCATTTGGGATACTGAGACATGAGGATTACCACATGTTCAAAGCCTACCTGGGCTGCATAGTGAATTCAAGGCCCGTCAGGGGGTGATCAGATGCCTGGATCCCTGAGTGGGGAATGTCAAGGAATAAAGAAAGACAAAAGGTATTCAATATTCAAGGTACAACGGGCCTGGGAGGAACCTGCCTTTAGAGGAAAGGTAGGGCAGCTCCTTGACTGGTGACTGGCGCACTTTTATTAGCAAGCTAGCAGCTTAGGGGGAGGGGTGGATTACTTTTCCTGGAACAGGAACTGTGGTAGACGTGGAAAGTTATTGGAAAACAAGTTCTTCCCTATGCCTGGATGCCTGCATTCTTCACCTTGTCCTCAGCAAATGTTATCTTCTCTTAGGAGGGCTCTGGTTATGAGCCTTTTCTGTACAGTCAGGAACCATGGCATCTCCTACATATTTCTCTGTTCCTAAAGCAAGGTCACACTGGCCCTGAGACATTGGGACCCAGTCACGTAGCCAGGACCCCAGCATAGTAAAATGGTATTTTATATCCTCTGGTGCCCAACAAAGGCCAGCATAAACTACATAGTGAGACCCTGACTCAAACAAAAACTCCCAAAATAAAATAATTATTTGCATTAAAATCTTTAGGCCAGGCATAGTGGCACATACTGGTAGTTCCAGCACTTGGGAGGCTGAGGCTGGAGGATTACTCTGATTTTGAGACCAGCATGAACTGCATATGTAGCCACAGTGATCCTTTTGCCTCGGCATCCTGAGGGCTGGGGGTGTAGGCATGCGCCACCACGCCCAGCTGGTGAGTTTTGTTCAGAAGCTACTTCGACTCTCCTTTTCTGCTCTATAGTTATGTTACCAGCCTGATTACACAGTTAGACTTAGATGTTTACCTCATGTTCAGTTTTCAGGGTCCCTTTATCTTCGTCAGTTTAATTTATAAAATATGTGAAATATTAATATGGCTTAAAGGTTGACACTTTGTAAAAGAGTTTCCTTGGAGAGGTCTTTTCCTTTTGCTATCCTTTCTTGTTTCTAATTGTCTACTAGGAAAAGTTTCATTACTTTTTGGGCTCTGCATCTCAGAACCCCCCAAAATTAATAATTTAGAAACAGTAAATTTTGTGCACATATTATGTTTGTCACACATTCATTTGCCCCATTCTCAGCTCCTCTCCTTTCCTGTGATAACATACTTTGAATACTCTTCTTCACTTGCTTTTCTTGCTTTTCCCTAGAACTCATTTTCTACTAATCCATGGAGACTATGTATGTATGTATGTATGTGTATATATATATGTATGTATGTGTGTATTGCTCTGTCTGTCTTATCTATCCTGTCTGTCTGTCGATAGGATCTTGCTATGTAGTGCAGGTTAGCCTTGAACTCACTTTGTACACCAGGCTGGCCTTTAACTGATGGCAATTCTCCTGCCTTAGCTTCCTGAGTGCTCTGATTAGAGGTATGTGCCATCACACCTGAGTCTTGTTCTTTTTTGTAGTTGCATTATTCATATTGGTATTGACATTTCTTTATCTTTTCTTTTCTCCTCCCACCCCAAAGCTGGGGCTTGAACCAGGGTCTTTGCATTGAGCTACATCCCCAACCTCTCTTTGATTATTTATTTTGAGACAGGATCTCACTAAATCATGAATTTGTTCCTAGGTTATAGGGAAGCTAAGTACCACCACATCCAGCTCTGATATCATGTGTGATATTTTACTATTATAAATAATGTTGTAATGAATATTTTTAAAATCTTTGAATTATAATGACAAAGGTAAGTCCTGCAGGCAGCTGGCACAAACATAGACATAGTTTCACAACAAGGAAAAATAAGTTAGTTTTAGTTTTGTATAATAATGTAGCTAAAATAGTACCTGACAGGTAGTATTTGTTTTGTTTTGAAAGTAATGCTTAGCCCCGCACAGTGGCAATATCTGTAGTCCCAGCTACTCAGGAGACTGAGGCAGGAGGATCACTTGAGACCAGAAGTTAGAGGCCAACCTGAGTAATATAGGTAAAACCTGAATCTTTAAGAAAAAAAAAACAAAAACTTAATTTTTAGGTTATGCATGCATATAATGACCTTGCACTGTTATAATTGATTCCTTTGGTGATTATATGCATACCTCTTGTGTTTCTGTTACACATACTGTACTTTGTGGTTTTCACTCCTGCACATAACTCAGTAGTGATAGTGCCTTGTACTTCCCACTTTCACAGGATTTAATAGGTGATCTGTTTCACTGTCTGTTTCCTATTTAAGATTGTCTCCACAGAGCTGGGTTTTGAGAACCTATAAGAATGTCTGACACTAGTAGATTCTTAACATACAGTATTTACTAATTGAAAGAAGAATTTTGATAGATCATTACAGATTTAGAAAGCAGTGAATAGAAGAAAATTGTGTTTACTTCCTATTTTTCCTAAAACCACATTTCTGTTAAATTCATTTTTCTTTTTTATTTTCTCTCTTCAATTGTAGTCTGTGCAGAGGCTTATAACCCTGATGAGGAGGAAGAAGATACTGATCCACGGGTAAGAACAAAAGGAAAAATGTTATGTAGAGTTGTGTTTTACACTGATTCTGTTTCTCTACATAATAAGTTCTAATCATACTGATAATTAAGATAAACACAAAAAATTTTAGGAAGGGCTTTTTTGGCAGGGGTGGGGGTGGGGTGGGAGTTAATAGGGATTTAACCCAGGTCCCACCTCCAGCCTTTCTGAGACAGGGTCCTGCCACTTTGTCCAGGCTGAGCTCATACTTTCAGTTTTCCTGACTCAGACTCCTACAGTGTTGGGAGTACAAAGCATGTGTTGTATGTTACCTAACAGATTGAGAGCAGCACTGGTTCAGGGTATGATGAGAAGGAATAGCCAGCTTTGGCTGTCAGAAGCCTTAAACATAGTCACTCCAGTGGCTCAACTGTCACCTAAGAGAGAATTCAGCCTAAGGGGCTTTCCCAAGGATGTACAAATGGAGATCATCACAGTGTTCTAATAGTGACATCTGAACAACCTAAATGGCCTTAAATAGGGCACTACCAGGATCTAAATTATGCTATACTCAAATCAAGACAATGTGAAGCCACTGAACATGTTTGCATAGGACAGGGCTTACTGGCATACTGTGTGTGTGTACTGTGTGTACTTTTTATACAACATTTTGAAAAATTTTAATGTATTAGTTCATAGTATACATAGAAAATTATATCTGGGAGGATATATAAACTTCATGGAGTCTAGCCTCGTGCGATTCTGGATATGTATCCTCTCCTGATCATAGACTTGTAGCATTGTTGAATGATCTTCAGTGTGATGTTTTCCATGGCTCCATTGCCCAGTGCTGCAGCATGGATTGTATAGGCAGCAGCAGTACCCTGTATAGATTGGCATGGTATAGTACGGCCACTGCATATCTTGAGTCACATCTTGCATGGGTCAGGCATTGCCCATGCTTAACTCAGAGATCATCGAGAGTAGTGTTACAACCTACCATTGTGTCTGTGACTACGAAGACAGGTATTGTTGTTGCACAGCCCCATAAGGGGTCTTATTTAATTATTAAACTTGGGCATGTGTTATTTTATAAAATAATAAAGTCTTTTTTTTTAACAACTGTATCATAGGCAGTACAAAAAAATCAGTTTTTTGTTCATGATACTGTTTTTTGTTTGTTTGTTTTGGTAGCAGGAGTAGAAGTCATGACCCCTATGCTTGCCAGACAGGCACTGTACTGCTGACCTATATTCCCAGCCCCCATGATATTGTTATAATTATAAACATGGCTAATACTAGAACTTTAAACAGTTGGTTATTAATTTTTGGAAGGTATAAAGTTGCAGTCAGACATTTGACTCAGAAAAATTTGATCATGTCTCTTTCACTATTGAAATTTTACTTTATGTTGTTACTTTGTTTTTATGTTATTTTGTTAACTTTTATTTTATTTGAGACAGGGTTTCACTATGTGTTTTAGGCTGGCCTTGAACTTGCTTGTGTAGCCCAGGTTGGCTTTCAATTTGTGGCAGCCCTCTTGGATCAGCCCTCCATGTGCTAGGATTTGCAGAAATGTGCTACCATACCTGGCTCTATTGAAATTTTTTTAAATTTTTTCTTTTTTGTACCAAGGATCGAATTCATGACCTCATGCTTGCCAGGCAGGCGCTTAGGCCGCTGAGCTAACTCCCAGACCCTCTACTGAAATTTGATAAGATCTGTCTTCACACAGAAAAATTACCCTCACCCCATAGTCATAATTTATTCATGTCAGTGCTTTTTGGCAGTATGTACATTTGGGCACATTTTTGAGGCAAATGAGTAAAATTAGAGCAAATATTTTTCATGAGCACCTTGAGAATTCACTAGGAATCACAACTACTTGCACTAAATCAGACATTGATCCATTAGTTTCATAAGGAAAGATATAAAATATTCCACTAGTTTTCTGTTTATGTTGCTTTCTTTTTAAAAAAGTATTATAGAGTCTGGGGATTTAGCTCAGTGGTGTAAGTGCCTATCTGGCAAGCGTGAGGTTGCAGGTTCGATCCCCGGTACCAAAAAATGTATATATATAAATATATATATTATATATATATAAAATAAAAATAGAATAAAGGAGTTTTGTTACATCAAGTACATTGTATATTTCACATGTGACTCAGTTCCTTTTCACTCAGTCCAGAGGAGCTGAAAATTTGAACACCCTTGCCTTAAATGTTAATGTGCTTGTGGTTGAATTAAATTACCTTTTTTTTTTTTTGTATTTTTGGTACTAAGACTCAAATTCAGGACCTCAGGCTTGCCAGGCAGGTGCTGTGCCACTGAGCTAAATTCCCAGCCCTAATTTCATAAAAGGAAATATAGCCAGATATGGTGGCACATTCCTGTAATCCCAGCATTCAGGAGACTGAAGCAGGATTGTCATGAGTTCAAGGCCAGCTGTAACTGTGTGGCAAAACTATGCTTCAAAAAACAGACATGTAGGGGGCTGGGGATTTAGCTCAGCAGCATAAGCGCCTGCCTTGCAAGCAGGCAGTCATGAGTTCGATCCCTGGTACCGATTAAAAAAAAAACAGACATATAAAAAAAGACATGTAGATTAACACTCTGAAATTCTGGATATAGGAGCTGGACATGGTGGCACAGTGCTTGTTTAGCATGCTGTTAGATTCAATCCATAGTACTAAGTAAATATGGGAGGCTGACCGAGTTCTTTTTTTGAGGGGTATGTCTCCAACTCCTCCACCCACAGTGGTTGTTTTTTGTTTGTTTGGTTTTTTGAGATGTTCTCCCTAAGTTTCCCAGGCTGACCCAAATCTTTAGTCTTTTTGTCTTAATCTCTCAAGTAGCTTGACCCCTTAGTTACAATATCAAGATTAGTTAGTAGTCATTTCTTTTTTGCGGGGTGGATACTGGGAATCGATCTCAGACCTTGCGCTTACCAGTAATCATGTGAGTGCAGTAAACACTTATTACTATAGTAATAGTAATAATAATTTTTTATCACATGCTGAATGAATACAAGTTACTATTTTAAATATTGTGTATTATTTCTTATAACACCTTTGATTTACAGATACCATTACTTCTATTACTAAGTTGCTGTTGCTTCAATTTTAGCACATGTAGCCAGTATTTACTTACAATCTTAGTTTGATATCAATGAACAATTTAATGTGAACTCCACATTATTTCCCTTTAAATGTTCTTTTCCTCTCAGTCTCTCCCAGTTTAATTTAGGGCCACTCCATCATTGAGTTGCTTGGGCCAAAATTTTGTAGTAACCTTCAACTTTTTTTACTTTTTAATATCAACTTCCATTTTTTCAATAAATCCAATGAATTCTGTTTTCAAAATATACCAAGAATTCTGTACTTCTAACACCTCCATGGCTGCCATCTTGGTATAAACCACTACCATTTGAAACTGTAGCTGACACTTACCCAGGGAGAGCTTTTAAAAATATTAGTTACATTTCTTCCTTAGTTGCTACCTTCAGATTGCCCCCATTCTACTAGAGAAAAGTTCAGTTCTATGACCTAGAGTGTTCTGCTGTGATTTGGCATCCATTTACCCCTAATCTGTCTTTTGATCTTTCCCTTTCTACATCAATCACATCTATTTCTTGCTTGCTTTTTTTTTTTTTTTTTTTTTTTGAGTCAAGGTCTTGCTGCGTAACTCAGACTGGCCTTGAACTTACAACTATCCTTCTACCTCAGCCTTCCAGCTGCTGGTATTATAGGCATGCACCACCACATCTGGTTTATTTTTCCAGTTCACTTTCCCACCATTAAGCCTTGTTTTTTCTTCCTCTTCCTGGCCTCCTTTTTTTTTTTTTAAATTGAGACAGGGTCTCACTACATAGTTTAAGCTGACCTTGAACTCACTGTAGTTCAGGCTAACTTCAAACTCACAGCAATCCTCCTGCCTCAGTTTCCCAAGCGCTATGATTACAAATGTGCACCTCCACACCCGGCAAAAAGCCTTGTTCTCTTGCTCTTCTCACAGAGATATCCACATGACTTTCCCACAGATTGCACAGAACTTTGCAGTCTTCCTTGTAACTTGTGAATGAGGCCTGGACTGGTCACACAGACACACACATACTCTCATACTTCTGTGTCTTTTGTCCACCTTATCTCTTACTTTAACATCATCATTCTCTGGCATATTTTAAGAATTTATTGAATTATGAGAGCAGGTATATTGTCTGTCCATTGTTATGTCCACAGAGCTAAGGTAATGCCTAATACTGAATAGGTGCCCATTCTTTCTGTTCCTCCCCCCGCCCCTTTGTTTTTGTTTGTTTTTTGAAATGGGGTCTTACTGTGTAGTTCAGGCTGGCCTTGATCTCATTATGCCTAGTGTGTGGCCTAGAACATGCTGCAATCCTCCTGCCTCAGCTCCCAAATGCTGGGATTATAGCCACGATACCCGTTTCTTTTTTTTTTTTTTCCTCTCCTCTTTTCTCATATTTTTTCCTTTAACAGACTGATCCCGAATTTGCAATGCTCTTACCTCAGCTTCCTGAGCAGGAGGCTTATAATAAGACATGTGCCATTATGCCCACCTCAGTCTTTATTCTCCAGACAGGTTTATGACACTGTGCTTCGTGAACGAGAAGCTGGAGGCTCCCAAGGGCCACCTGACTGCTGTTGTGGTGGAGTGTGGATTCTAATTGTTACCCTGTATCATATTGCGCCTCCACTTTCAACCTTCTGCTTAGTATTTATGTAAAATTAAGATTATAGAAAATATGCTGTTAATTTCCCTCACCTTTTTTTTCTTTTATTTTTTGAGACAGGATCTCGCTATATAGTCCAGGCTGGCTTTGAACTCACTGTGTGCTCCAGGCTAGCCTCTAACTCACAATGATCCTCTTGCCTCAACCTCCTAAGTGCAGGGATTACAGGCATGTGCCATCATACCCGGCCAATTTCCCCTACTTGGAGGAAAATATTAAAACGTATTAAAATGCTTTTAGGTTGGAAATTTGTAAAATGGAGTAAAATTTCCCCTTGCTTTATTTGGATTGACAGGTGATTCATCCTAAAACTGATGAACAGAGATGCAGACTTCAGGAAGCTTGCAAAGATATTCTTCTTTTCAAAAATCTTGACCAGGTAATGCTGTTTTAAAAATGTTTTTTTATAGTGGTCCTTTAGGTTTTTTCCTGTTTGTCATTTAAAGAGGGTTTTTTTTTTTTGGTTGTTTGTAGCATTTTAGTCATTATGGTATGAGGCATAAAACTTCAGGCTCATTTTACTTTACAGACATTTTTATTTTGTTGACCACTGTAACATGGGCATGACTTTTTTACATGTCCTTTAGTAGTATTCTGATCCGGTTTGGAGGGTTTGAATTTATGTTGGAAAGGGATTGATTTCTGCAAAGGTACTGTCCTTTACTGTTCACCAGCAGCAGTTCCCACTAAATTGTGATTGTTTCTCATACCTCATATGGGGCATTGTTTTTAACTGCCTCTCAGTGATGGCTTGAGTTACTGGGCATTTCTTGTAAGTCATGTGTGTCTTCAGGTGATCTGTGGTTTTGCTTGTCCTCCTCTTGGTGAGAGAGAGAGAGAGAGAGAGAGAGAGAGAAAGGAAGGACAAAGGCTTCCTCCTAAAGATAGATGTCCTAGTATGTCCTAGTATATTCAGGCTATCGCAAAAAAAAATACCCTAAATTAGGTGGTTTATATCAGCAGAAATGTATTTCTCACAGTTGTGTGAGCTAGCAAATTTGATGTCTGGTGAGAAGGCCACCCCGCTTGGGTCATAGGCATCCATCTGCTCTCAAAAGGAGGAGGAAGAGGGGAACGGTGTAGACTTATTTTTATAAGAGCACTAATCCCATTCATGAAGGCTCCACTGTTACTGATCTAATCACTTCTCAGAGACCCCATCTCTTAGTACTGTCTCTTAGTACTTCTTAGAGACCCCATTTCTTAATACTTGGAATTTGAATTTGTTTTGTTGTTTTTAGGTAGAATGCTATTTTATTACTTTGGTGTTGAAAAATGATGAGTACTTTTCACATTAACTTATATATTGTTAACATTTTATTCTAAAAAATATTTAACTGTACAGCAAAGTTGGACTTTACATGGACATACATCTGTCCACTGCCTTAATTCTAACATCTCACTTTGCTTGCTCTGTGACATACATTTTACTCATCCCTCAGCAGAAGAACCAGTACACTTTTTCCTAAAGAGCCAAGTAGTAATTATTTCTGTCACAAGTTCAGGTCTGCCTTTGTAGGCAGGAAAGCAGTTGTAGAAAATGCATAATTGCAAAGGTATAGTTATATTCCAATAATAAATTCTTAAAAAATAGGTGGCAGTTTGCTGACCTCTGTAATTACTCATGTTATTTTGGGAGGTATATTTCTGAGTAAATTGCAGATACCAGTATACTTTCCCCTAATTAATTCAACATTCATATAATGAATTCAAGAATTCAGTATTTGTTTATGATTTTTCAGTGCAAAGTTTATGTACAATAAAATGTACTAGTTTCAAGTGGTAATTAGATTTTTTGCTTTTTAGTCATCAAAATTTATGAGTGAGAAACTTTATCATACCTTTAGGAAACTGAAACTCAGAGTGGTTAGTGATGATATTGAGCTTGTCTGACTCAGTTGTATTACCCCACAAGATAACCTCTGAAGCTTTTGGTAGCCCTTTAGGTTTGACAGTCCTATTAATATCAACAGTACCTAAGGGAATGTCACTTTACAAAGGAGATGCTGGAGCCTTCAAGGTGGGCAACAGTCCTGTGGGCACAACTGGGAAAATTAGCACTATGATTTAGGTAAGCTATTTTGCATAAATTGAGGAAAAATTTTTTGAAACAATATTATCTCAAAAACTTGGCAGTTGTCTTGTCTACTGAGGCGCATGGAGGTGCACAGCTGACTGGCCTCAGGTGAGGATTTGTTTCAGATAGCCTTTAGGTCTCTGCTTAAAGATGGGGACTTCAATTATTGTGTAGCCACAAAATGAGATAAACATGACTGCTGCATGTTTTTAATAAGTGTAAAAGTCATCTTTTTCTCCCTTTGTATACTCTATAGGAACAGCTTTCTGAAGTCCTGGATGCCATGTTTGAAAGGACAGTCAAAGTGGATGAGCATGTCATTGATCAAGGAGATGATGGAGACAACTTTTATGTCATAGAAAGGTAGGAGATGGAGCTTTGTGGTTGTGTGGCCACTCTTCATAGATTCATAATATGAGACGGATGCTTTGCCTGATCCTTTATGTAGCCCAGAGAGGTGTAGTACCAGGTGACCAAGCTTTCCAAAGGCTTGCAAGGGACCACAGCCTGCCCCTGTTGGTGTACTGTTGTACTGAGTCCTCACTGCAATCCATATTTGTTCCCACCATTTGCAGTAGATAATTTCCTATATAGTTAGAAGGTAAGTATAGCGTATGTTTCATACATGTTATAGGCCATTGTTCAAGTGAATTGATTTTTTAAAGAATAGTCATGATACTATATTGTAATTTGGATCTTTGAATTCCAGCCTAACTTAACATATAAATACACTGCCCTGTCCTCCATACCCCTTAAGCTTCTTCTGGTTCTGTTCGAGGTATAAGCCATAGTGAAAGAAATTAAATAGTTGAGTTTGACCTGCCCATGTTACTATATCTTACCCTCTTGAGTTGATAGTAGTCTCTTAGGTGACCCCTTTTCCTTCTGACCTCTCTCAGTCCTAAATGGAGTATCTGCACCTGAGTTTAGAATAAGATGCTATTTAACCCAGTAGCTTCCATTAGTCTTTTGAAGTAATTTCAGAGTTATAAATTTGCATAGGTAGTACAGAAAATTCTTATAACTCAGGTTAATGTTCTATCACATTTCCTTTACCATGTTATAGACAGTACTTTTCATATTTGAGTACCTCAGGGTACATATCCTAAAAGTAAGGCCTTTCTCTTACTTAAGCATACAATAATTATAAAAATCAGAAATTAGCATTTATTCACTACTGTGTGTAATGTACAGATCTTATTCAAAATGTTTCATTTATTTCTTTGATTTTTGAAATATTTTTTTTTGGTCTTTTTCCTTTTTATCGGTACCAGGAATCGAACTCAGGACTGCCTGCTTGCAAGGCAGGCGCTTATGCCGCTGAGCTAAATCCCCATCCCCTATATACATGTACTCATACATCGGCTCATACATTATTTGATCTAATCTTTAAAGTCTGTTTTAAACACTTTTCCATGAAAACCAATATTATTTGTCATATTTTTATTTTAGGAATGTATGTAAATAGGTACTTGTGTGTTTATTTTTGGCAATACTAGGAATTGAACCCACAGAGTGCTGAACTAAATCCTCAGCCTTTTTGAGACAAGGTCTTGCTTAAGTTACCCAGGTTGTCCTCAAACTTGTGAGCCTCCTGGCTTAGCCTTGTGCAAGTAGCTGGAACTTTTGTTCGTTTTTTTGTGGATTTTCTTCTTTTTTTCTAGTTTGAGACAGGTTCAAGCCGTACAGTCTCACTGTGTAGTCTAGGTTGATTCCCTTGATCCCAGCAATCCTCTTGTCTCAGCCTCCCAGAAAGCTGGGATTATAGGCAGGTGCCACCAGACCTGGTTTTGGTTTGTTTTTATTTGTGTTTCTGTTTCTGTGTTGTGTTGTATTTTTGAGAGAGCTACGTAGTTCGGGCTGGCCTTGAACTCACTAGGTGGCCTTGAACTCTCTGTGATCCATCTGCCTCCATCTCCTGAGTAGTGGGATTATAAACGTGCACCACCATGCCCAGTTGGTTGGTTATTTTTGAGACAGAGTCTCACTATGTAGTCTAGGCTGGCCTTGAACTCATCCTGTGGCCCATGCTATCCTCTCTTGGCTTAGCCACCTGAGAGCTGGTATTTGAGGCTTATATGGCATACCTGACTTTTATGTCATCATTTTTAATGACTACATGATGTGCTTATAAAATATATTTATTTCCCCTCTTATTAGCAAATTATTTGTAATTTTTGCTATTATGTATATTACCTGGCAAGCATTCTGCAATTGTCTTTTTTTCAGTGTTGTTGATTTTCTTGGCTTGATTAGAAATGGAATGCTATGTATAGGTTTCTTTGTCTCTTTAAGGTATTTGCTGTAGGCTGTTAAATGTCTTACAGACACTTTGAAAGGTTGATGTTTACCTCAGTGTTACGTGGAGAGTGGAGAGTGCTTATTTCTCCAAATGCTTGTCAGTTCTGAATATTTTTCTTTAGCAATCATAATCAGTAGGTAGATAATTATATATAATTTATTTTTGTTTTATCCTGATTTTCAATAAACTATGAAAGAAAACCCATACAGGCATTTCAGCACCTGCAGCTGAGCACTTGACAAAAATTCAACACCATTTTATGATAAAAGTGCTCATCATACTAGGGATAAAAGGAATTTTTTCCAATCTAGCTCAAGGCATTCACGAAAAATCTAAAGTGAACATTGTACTTAATAGTGAAAGTTAAATTGGTTTTCCCTTAGCGTTGAGAATAATAAAGGATGCTTGTGCTGACCACTTCTGGTCAGTCCTAGCCACTGCAATATGGCAAAAACGAAAGGAAGGAAGAACACACAGATTGGAAAAGAAGAAGTAAAACTCTTCAGGTGACATGATCCTTCACATAGAAAGTACCAAGAATGCCACAAAGATGCTATTAAGTGTTTGACAGGATCACATACTACGAAGTCAAAATGTAAAACTCCGCTGCATTTGTATAAAGTTGCAAAATTCTTTCAGAAATCTTCTGTTTTATGTTATATATACTTGGCAATTGTTAAATTTGTTATCAGAAGTAATTATGTCTTGTCATTCTTTCAGGGGAACGTATGATATTTTAGTAACAAAAGATAACCAAATGCGTTCTGTTGGTCAGTATGACAATCGTGGCAGCTTTGGAGAACTCGCTCTGATGTACAATACCCCGAGGGCTGCTACCATTGTCGCCACCTCCGAGGGTGCCCTGTGGGGATTGGTAAGTGAGAAAAATGGGTGTCTTCTGGGCCTAGGCTCATGGCTGTTGGTTCAGGTAGTCTTTTATTAGCTAGTTATCTGAAAGACATTGTGAAAGGTCTTTTACAAATGTGTTTTTCCATTCTTTAAAGTGGTTTATCAGATGAACCATTTGCTGTAAGTTATAGAAGCATAACCATTTATAAGACCCAGTCTTACAATGTTGTACTAGTTACGACCCTTATTCCCTTTCTTGTTTTCATTAGACAGGTAGAAAGAGAGAAATGATAAATCTCCATACAAGAAGTAGCCTAGAAAATGGGCATAGTGCTGCAAACCTGCAGACGTATAATTCCAGGACTTGGGGACTGAGGCTAGAGCATTATAAATTCAAGTCCTGCCTGGGTAATTTAGCGAAACCCTCTCTCAAAACAAACAGAGCCAGCATGGTGGTGCACACTTGTAATCCCATCACTCTGGAGGCTGAGGCAGAAAGATTGCTGTGAGTTTGAGGCCAGCCTAGTTCTACATAGTAAGATGAAGCCTGAATTATAAGTGAAACCCCATCTCAAAAAAACAACAAACGACACTTTTTTTAACAACACTTTTAAACCAGATGTAGTGGTTTGCCTATATAATCCCAGCACTCTGGGACTCGGAGGCTGAAACAGGAGGATTGAAAGGTCAAGCCTAATGTGGCAATTTAACAGTTTATCGACAATCTGTCTTAAAGTTTTTTTAAGAATTTATGTATATATGTATTTATACGTATATACTCACACACTCACTCACTTGTTTGAGTTCACTCACTCACTCACTCACTCACTTGTTTGAGACAAGGTTTTGCTGTGTAGTTCTGACTGACTTGGAATTCCCATGTAGCCTAGGCTGGCTTTGAACTTACAGTAGTCCTCCTGCTTCAGCCTCTCTAGTTGTGGATCAGGCATGCTCCATCATACTTGGCAAGATTGTACAAAAGGGCTAGAGATATAGTCCAATGAGAAAGCCCTGGGTTCAATCTCCAGTACTGAAAAATAAGAAGGACAGGGAGGTAGAGAGAGAGAGAGAGAAAGAGAGAAGAAAATTAAATAGAACAGTGCACACAACTGCAAAATATATCCTCCTTTCAAACCTGTGAAACATTTACCAAAATAGACCATATCCTGAGACATAAGACTTCACAAGTATAAACAAATTGAAATCAAAGTGTGTTCTGTAACTACTGAAATGAAACTGAAGATCAGTAACAGTAACAAAAATCTCCAAACACTTGCAAGTTAATAAATTCCTAAGTAATCTCTAAATCAAACAGGAAGTCTCAATGGAAGAATTTAAAAACAGAAAGTCAGGCCTCGTGGTGCATGCCTATAATCTCAGCATTTGGGAAGCTGCAATAGGAGGATAGCTCTGAGTTTGAGTCTAGTTAGAGCTACATAGTTCAAGGACAGCCAGAATTATTTGCAAGACCCTGTCTCAAACTCCTGCCCCAAAAGAACAGCCCTACAATGGACTATAAAATCACTGCCTTGTGACTTGGAGTATGAGTTGTGGGCATTCAGAGCCTGGGACAAGTGGGTGGGTAGTAGCTCTGGTTCTCATTGGCTGTAGTGCTGCTCACCAAATCTTTCTTTCGGAGACTTCCTCTCCTAACACTCCTGCTCTGCCTTCCCACTTCCTACTTTTGTCTTTTGCAGTCTTTTCTTTCTCTCCCTGCTGTCTTAATTAAGGTCAGTATCTTAGTTACTTTTCTTTCATTGCTGAGACAAAATATCCAGTACCCAAAGTTAAGGGGAGGAAAGGTTTATTTATTTAGCTCATAGTTCATAGCAGTTTCAGTCTATAACTAGCTGCTCTAAGGCAGGGTGGTACATGGCAGAGGGGCAGCAGTCCACCATGGAGGAAGACAGCAAAAGCCACAAGAAAGGGCAAAGGAAATGCCCCTTTCTGTCCCTTATACTGTATGCAGGGGACCTGCCCTAGGGCAGGTATAGCATTCACATCCTTAATCCCAGCATTGCATCATGAATCAGTCAATGATTTGGGGATGACAATGTGCATTGTATGTACCATTGTTGCCCCCTGGGTGACGTGTTTTGAAATTTTGTTGTAGTTTTTCTTCTTCTTTTTTTCTTTTTATCCTTGAAATAAAATGGATTTGGGGGAGAAAAAAAAAAAAAAAGAATCACAAACTCTAAGTTCAGCCATCTCTGAAAAGCACCCTAACCTGCCCCCTGCCCATGACTGCATGAGGCTTTGGGAAGACATCTAGACACAAAGTATACTAAGTCCAGTAACCCATGAAGATACCTCTGGGCCCCTGTCTTTTCCTTGCTTCATTCACTTGCTTTGCAAACTCAAACTCTCCCAAACATCAGTACCAACTCAGAAATGCAGCTCCTGGAGGGTCCTCTCTTTTTTTTTGGTCTTTTTCCTTTTTATCGGTACCGGGATCGAACTCATGACTGCCTGCTTGCAAGGCAGGCACTTATGCTGCTGAGCTAAATCCCCAGCCCCTGGAGGGTCCTCTCTAGCCACCCTCTTGTGTTTTGCAAGGCCTTGGGAATGCCTGCCAAGGCTAGAGCAGGGAAGACAGAGAGCTTCACAAGCTGGATCCTGTACTTCTGCTGTGATGGCAGCTGCCTCCATGGCCGCTATGCTCATGATGCTTCTCCTTTCTCCTGGCTTGAGTAAACGTCAGTACAGATGTTCCTGGGGAGTCCTGTGGTCACAGGGTTGCAGTGTTTCCCCATGGGACCCTCTTTCCCTCTGAGCAGTTGGTGCCTTTAGAAGTTCCTGGTCCAGTGCTTTGTTTGGAAATACTCCAAGGTTAAGTTGATACTTGGTGCTTTTTCATACCCTCCATACCCACAGCAGCTGCCCTTGCACAGAGTGAGGAGTCCTGGGAAGTGAGAAGGCTGCATAGATGGGCTCGGAGCCCCAAAACATAAGTCTCTGTTTTGGTTTTTTGAGATCTTGCTGGCCTTGGTCTCCCTAAGTAGTTCAGGCAGGCCTTGAACAGTGACCCTCCTGCCTTAGCCTCCCAAGTGCTAGGATTACAGGCATGTACCACCACACCTGGCTCAAAGTACTTTAAAAGCCATTCTTGTTTTCTTTTCAACTATAAATATAGTTTGCTATTGTAATTGTAATGATCTTTATATATTTTCTTTGTTTTTTGGAGGGTTGGAGAGTGTTACTAGGGATTGAACCCAGAGCTGCCACCTCACTGAGCTACATCCCCAGCCCTTTTTTTGTCTCACTGAGTTGCCGAGGTGGCTTCCAACTTGTGATTCTCTTGCCTAACCTCCCAGGCACTGCCATTTTCTTAGTTTTTCACCTCAGCCTGGATTAGTCCAAAAAACGTATTGAAACTGAATTGTAAAGATCAATGGCATAATATATCAAAGTATGAAAGTAATGTTTTCAATGATACAGTGCATCATTTGAGCAGTTGGAGACTGAGTGACTCCTTCACACAATAGATAGTGAAGGAAATGGAACAGAATCTAGCTAAATGTCAGAGAGCAAACTTTTATGTAGCAATCTAGGGAAGGAGTGCAGGTAACTTTTCTGGCTAAACAAATTAGACATGGAATGGGATAAAACAAGGTTATTCTGTGGCTGATGAAATACAAATGAGGGAAACCTATTTAGACATCTCAGTTCAGCTGTCCTTTGTGTGATTTCTACACCCAACTTCTGTATGATCATTAAGAATGCTAAAATAAACCAGGCATGGTGGTGCATGCCTATAATCTCAGCACTCAGGAGGCTGAGGCAGGAGAATCAGCACAAGTTTGAGGCCAACCTGAACTACTGTGGTAGTAGAAGATGTCTGAAAATGCAATACAATATAGTACAGTACAGTACAGTGAATCACATCGCATCTAAACGTGTCTGTCCCCTGGCTACCTTTTTGTTCTGCCAGAGATGAAAGTTCAAATCACTGCTTACCCATTTAGGAGCCTTAGACTAATCAATTAACATTCTCTATTATGTGTGGGAGGGCTTTGTTCCCTTCCCGCACATATCTGAGAAGAGCTTGACTGTAGCTCTGGCTAGCTGTCTCCTGATGAGAACCCATTGCTCCCTAACGTCCTGGTGCTGTCCACATGCCTACCTGTCATCTTGGGTATCCTCCCTGTCTCTTCATTGGTTTAAACCTTCTCCCTCCTTTCAGCTCCCAAACAAATTCTGCTGGAAAACTATTTTTTATTTCCCCTATTTTGTTTTGTGTTTTCATTAAGATTGTAAACTCCTCAAGGGCAAAAATCATGAGATTATTTTATTTCCTCCTTTTTTAGAAGGCTATCTTCTGACATTAATGACTGTGAGCACATAAATATCTGATGGAAGTTTTTTTATTTTGTGTTGTGTTTATAACCCATAGGTGGCACCCACTGAGCACTGAACAGCAAGAAGCTACTACCTATGGGGTGCTGTCTGGCTCACCATTCAGGCAGTTTTTTTCCAGTGATAATTCTGAAATTGACATAAATACTCAGTAGACACAGTTACTTTTGTCTTAATATTTACTATTAATATTAAATATTAATGTTCTCTTAATATTTGCTGTGATCCAATTAATTAAACTATATGTGTCCTCTTACATAGGCATGTACTAGAATTTTCCTATTCTGTCTTGCAGGACCGGGTGACTTTTAGAAGAATCATAGTGAAAAACAATGCAAAAAAGAGGAAGACATTTGAATCATTTATTGAGTCTGTGCCACTCCTTAAATCATTAGAGGTAAGGTCTAAATAGAAGTTGTCTAAGAGGATTAAGAGAAGTTATTAAAACTCTCATTAGAGTTTTCAGATCTTATTATTCTAACCCACTCTGTGTTGCATAGATAGAAGATTCTCAGTAAAGATCTTCCTGCTAATTTGTGAGTGTGTCCATTGTTTCAGGTGTCAGAACGAATGAAGATTGTGGATGTGATAGGAGAAAAGAACTATAAGGATGGAGACCGTATAATCACGCAGGTAAATTGGACCTTGCAAGCTTCCTTCCTACAACTCACTATCTAAAGGCTGTCACTTGTCTCCTAAGACCTCTGTTTCCTCCCCTGTGGGAGCTCATGTTGCAGGGCACTGGGTCACCTTGTGCAGGGTCCTCTAAGCCATTGATGGACATCTCACTATATATGCGGGCACTTGCTTTCATCCACTGTTTTTGGTTTTCTAGTGTTTTTGTTTTTTGTGGTGCTGAGGATTGAGTCTTGTGCATACAAGGCAAGAGCTCTACCACTGAGCCACATCTCCAACCTGTGTTTGTTATTTTGGATGTCATTTTGTTTTGACCTTGAGTAAACTTCATTTATCACATTAAAATATGGGGAAGATCAAAGAGTTATGCCTGCTACTTGATCTACATTTGACACAAAGGCATCCTTTTGGCTATGGCAACACAAACCAAAGTCCTCAGGATTCAGTGATTAGATATCTTTAACTGTAAACTATCTTTCTTATTTCCTTGCATCTTTTTCTCATTATTTTGGAATGCTGTAAGAATCCACACAGTGGACCAAACCATTTTAATTAGAATGCTCTGTAATAGTTTTGCCTGTTGTGTTTGCACTTTCAGTTGTGTGTAAATAGTATTAGGTCTTTTCCAGATATAAGCTTCTTCTTTTTCCTTTTTTAAATTTTTTTGAGATTGAGTCTCACTATGTAGTTCAGGCTGGCCTTGAGCTCACTTTGTAGCCTAAGCTGCCTTGAACTTGTTTTTTTTTTTTTTTTTTTTTTTTTTTTTTTTGTCTTTTTCATTTTTATAGGTACCCGGGATCGAACTCACGACCGCCTGCTTGCAAGGCAGGTGCTTATGCCGCAGAGCTAAACCCCCAGCCCCCTGCCTTGAACTTGTAAAACAATCTTCCTGCCTCAGCCTCCTGAGTGCAGGGTTTACAGCTGTGTGTCCCATGCATGGCTTAGGTATAAGCTTCTTTGCCTGGAGTCTGACGAGCACTAGAGGAGCATTCCTTCTCTTGGGTTGGGTGATATGACTATCCTTGAGCATAGAGCGGGGACCAGAATTCCTCAGTCCTTAGGTAGAGCTGCTACATAGGTCTCATGCCTGAATCCCTCCCACCGATCTTAGAAAATATGTCAGGAGATATAAGAAACTACAGTGCTTTCTGTGGTGTCTGCTCTGGGAGATGAATTGACAGGAATAAGATGATGCTCATCTTACTATAGGCCACTCTGGACAGTGTGTTAAGCAGGGTTCTTAAAAGGAGAACCCAGGACCTGCAGCATCAGCATTATCTAAGAATAGTAGAAATAAAAGTTTGTGGGCCCCACACCAGACCTACTAAATCAGAAACTGTTTTATGGGGTTTGTTTGTGTTGGTCAACTTTGTTGTGGTGTATTTTATATACAGTAAAATTACTAGCTTTAAGTTCAGAGTATTAGAACCATCTCCACAACCATGGTATACTGCATTTCATCACCCCACACAGTGCTTGCATTTATATTTGCAGTTAGTGTGCTTTCTTACACCCTCTTTCCTAGAAATCAGTAATCTGCTGTCACAGTAGAATTTCCTTTTCCAGAATTTCATATAAATAGAGTCATAATTCATAATAATGTGTAGGCTTTTATGTTTGGATATATAATATTGTTGAGCATAATACTGTTGAGATTTATCCATATCTTAGGTATCAGTAGATCATTCCTTTTTATTGCTGGATAATTTGCTATTATATGGATATACCATGATTTGTCTTTTCCATTTACCACTTTTTTTTTTTTTTTTAAGACAGGGTCTGGTTGTGTAGTTCAGACTGGCCTGGGACTCATTATGTAACCCAGGCTGGCCTCGAACTTGCAGCAGTTCTCCTGCCTCAGCCTCTCAAGTGCTGATATTATAAAAATGCACTGTAGTGCCTGGCTTATAGTTTTATTATCTTGGGTGAATACTTTAGGTGGAATTGCTGAGTCTTGTGGCAAATGTGTATTAACTATAACAAACAGCCAAACTGTTTTGAAAATTGGCTGCACCTCTTTTCATTCTCACCAGCGTATATGGCATTCCAGTTGCTCTGTATCCTCACCAATACTTGGCACTGAAGTCTTTTTGGTTTTAGCTATTCTAGTCAATATGAAGTAATATATCTTTATAAGAGTTCTTTACATATTCTGAGTATATATCCTTTATTGGACAATTTGCAAGTAATTCTGCCAATTTGTGATGGTTTTGTATTCATTTCTTCATTTTTCTCAGTAGTAGCTTTTGTTTTGTTTTGTTTTTTAATGTTTTGAGACATGATTTCACTATGTAATTCAGGCTGGCTTTAAAATCACTGTGTAGCCAAAGCTGGCCTCAAATTTGTGGCAGTCCTATCTCAGCTTCCCAAGTGCTAGGTTTACAGGTATGTGACCCCCTGTCCAAGTCAGTGGTAGGTTTTGAAGGGTAAAGTTTTAAATTTTGATGAGTCCAGTTTATTGTCTTTTTCTCTTTTTCTCCAGTTTGTACTTTTGTGCCCTGCTTTAAAAAACTGTCAACATATTCATTAAGATTTTCTGTACAAGGGGCTAGAGATTTAGCTCAACGACATAAGTGCCTGCCTTGTAAGCAGGCAGTCGTGAGCTCGATCCCCGGTACCAATAAAAAGGAAAAAGGCCAAAAAAAATATTTAAAAAAAAAATTTCTGTACAGGATACAAAATCATATTCATAAATCAGTAGCTTTTAAAATATATTAGCAGTGAACTAGCTAGGGAAGAAAATCAGAAAAATAACTATCCACAGCAGCTTAAAGAAGCATACATAGGGGCTGGGGATTTAGCTCAGGGGCATAAGCGCCTGCCTTGCAAGCCTGTGGTCATGAGTTTGATCCCTGGTATCGGTAAAAATACAAAAGAAAAAAAGAAGCATTCATAGCAATCAACCTATTCAAAGAATTGAAGGACCTCTACAATGAAAATTATAGAACACTGAAAAAAAACCTTGGATAAGACACTCAAAGATAGAAAGACCTCTCTTATGCTGATGGATTGGCAAAATTTATATTGTCAATATGGCCATATTACCAAAAGCTATCTATAGATTTATTGTAATCTCCATCAAAATTCTAATAGTATTCTTTTTTTTTTTTTTTTTTTTATTGGTACCAGGGATTGAACTCACGACTGCCTGCTTGCAAGGCAGGCGCTTATGCCACTGAGCTAAATCCCCAGCCCCAATTGTATTCTTCATAGAACTAAAAAAAGAATTCATATGGAAACACAAAAGGTCCATAATAGCCAAAGCAACCCTGAGCAAAAAGAGCAAGGTTGGAGACATCAAAATGCCTGATCTCAAATTACACTACGAGGGAACACTAACAAAAATAGCATGATACTGGCACCAAAATAAACTAATGGGATAGAGGATGCTGATAGAACACACAGAAACAAAGCCATGTAGAGCTCTCGGATTCTTGGCGAAGGAACCAAGAAAGCATATGCTGGAGAAAAGATAACCTTTGTAACAAATCATGCTGAAAACACTTAGATACCCCATGTGGAAACTAGGTCCCTGTTTCTCATCCTATACAAAAATCAGTGAAAAATGAAGCTGAGGTGTGGTGGCACACACTGAAGCAGGAGGATTGCTGCAAGTTGAAGACCAGCCTGGACTGCCAAATGAGTTCGAGGTCAGCAACATAACAGCACAAAGTCTCCTTTATAAGTTTTCTCTCTGGTGAGGCAGTAATGTGTCCTTAGATTAGACTGACTCAGGAGCATCTGCCTCAGTTCTGGTGGTCAGAGAGAGAGAGTCTTCCAAGTGCTCAGAAATATAGGTTCCCAGTAGACCCCACACCTACCTGGAGTGGGCACACGTGATTAGTACTGGATTACCCATTGTCTGTGTCATTGCTTTAGAAATTAGTCATTCAGGGTCAAGATGGAAGTGTGCCTGAAGCCCTCTTCTGTACCTGCTTGCCTGTCTGTCTCACTTCCATCTAGCTTTTGCTCAGAGCTCACCCACTCAGGGAAGCCCCATCGTGTATAGTAGGCAGCTCCTCCTCCAGCCCTTGAGATTCCGTATCCACATGCTCTTTCCTTGTAGCACTTCCCACTCTCCAGCACTGGTTTATTGTGGTAGCTGCTGATGGTAGATTCACCCCACCGTATTATTCGTCAGTCTGGTGATGTATCACATCCCTAGAATAGAGCCTGGCACAGAGTAGGTCCTTGGTGAATTAAGTTGTTGAGTTGCCTGCATTGACTAATCACGCAGATGGTTTAAAGTCAAAACAAGCCAAGAAAATCCTGAGGCTTATAAAAAGTGGTGTCAGAGCCAGGGAGTTCCAGATCCACACTGTCCTCTTGAGGGCTATTTGATAATCAAGATTATGTCTAAAGCCCCTCTTCCAGGGAATACTGCGACACTGTGCAGCAGTCTTGGTTACTCATCCTGTCACAAGTTTCAACAGCAAGTCAGATAAGCTGTCAGAACAGCACTTCTTTATGCAGTGGGCAGCCAGCTCATATTCATGGCATTTAAAAATATTTTAAGTATAAATGTATTTAAAAGTAAGTAAGTAAGGGGCTGGGGATTTAGCTCAGTGGCATAAGCGCCTGCCTTGCAAGCAGGCAGTCATGAGTTCGATCCCTGGTACCAATAAAAATGAAAAAGACAAAAAAAAAAGTAAGTATTTAAAAGATGGGAGAAAGCTGGGTGTGGTGGCATACGCCTGTAATCCCAGCATTTGGGAGGCTGAGGCAGAAGGATTATTTCAAGTTCTATACCAGCTTGGGCTACAAAGTGAGGTCAAGGCCAGTCTGAACTGCATAGTGAGACTCTGTCTCAAAAAGATGAAAAAAAGAAAAAAGGAGAACCAGCTATGGTGGTGCACAGCTGTAGTCCCAGTACTCAGGAGGCTTCGTATAAGGATCATTGTGAGTTTAAGACTAGCCTAGGCTATACAGCAAGTCCTTGCTACAAAAAACAACAACAAAGAAGATGAGTAATGTGTCAGTCATGGTTGAGTTAATGTCCATGGTGATTGTTCTGAATTTGTTAGCCATTGATTCATTTGTGGAGCTGGATATAAGAACAGATTGGTGTTCAGGAGATGAGAAGACAGTCTATTTGTATGTTTCTCTTCATGCTGTGTGTGGCTCTCATCTCCTCCTGCCTTTCAGGGTGAGAAGGCTGACTGCTTTTATATCGTTGAATCTGGCGAAGTACGTATCATGATCAGGAGCAAGGTGAGTGCATGTGGATGAAAGGACCCAGAGCTAGGCGCACGCACAAGTACTGTGTCACACAAGTGTAAAATGTGTTAGGGTCTCAAGCCGTCATTTTGGTAAGTGCCAGAGACCCAGACTGAAAGACATTCGTTTATGAGGGATCAGTTTCCCTCTGGTGCTCCTGCCTTTGCCTCTTGATACAGGCAAATAAGAAAAAGATAATAAAAAATGTGGCAGTTGCCTAAGGAAAACACATACTAGGATGAACATGCAGAGAGCTTCCTGTCAGGGGAGATCTGCAGGACATTGTATATTATTAGGGCCATTTGAGAACCAGGCATAAGGGCACACACCTAGCACTTGGGTGGCTGAGCCAGGAGAATCACCAGGAGCTCAGGGCCAGCCTGAATACACAGTGAGCTCGAGCCAGCCTGGACCACACAGTGAGACCTTGTCTCCAAAACCAGAAAACAAATGAATGAGTGAGTGAATGATGTGGGCCGTTGGTGGATGAAAAGACCTAGGAATTGGAGGATTGTCAAAAAGGCAGAGATGCTGGATGTGGCAACACACACCTGTAATCTCAGCACTCAGGAGGCTGAGGCAGGAAGATCACCTTGAGTTTGAGGCCAGTCTGGACTACATAGTGAGATCCTGTGTCAAAAGACAAAAGCAAAAAAGGCCAAGCTGTGGGCTCTACTCCAGATCCGCTGAATCAAAGTCTGCATTTTAGGGAAATCAGGGTTATGGAAGAGCTGACGTAAGTATCTGAGAGGGTTAGAAGTGCTCTTCTAGAGAAGGGACTCAATGGGTGAGAACCATTCTGCAGTCCTGGAGCTGCTGTAGAAGTGCAGTGGAGTAACCAGCTCCAGCTCCAGCTTCACAGGTCACTGCAGAAGCAGGAAAGGAAGACAGGTCAAACCATGTGAGCTAGTGAACTTAACCTTCACAACAAGTAAACAGTTACTTCTCTGCCTGCAACTGAAAGTGGTTCTTAGAGATTTGAGACTAAAGATTTTTTTGGTTTTGTTTTTTGAGACGGTGTCACTGTGAAGTTCAGGCTGGTCTCGAACTTGGAGTAGTCCTCTTCAGCCTCCTGAGTGCTGGGATTACAGGTGTACACCACCATACCAGGCTGAGGCTAATTCTTGCTAATAAATTATGAATAATTTTTTTTTTGTCTTTTTCGTTTTTCATCGGTACCAGGGATCGAACTCACAACCACACACTTGCATGGAAGGTGCTTATGCCGCTGAGCTAAATCCCCAGCCCTGTGAATAATTTTTTATTCAAATTACTGCTTAGCTCAGTAGGACAGATTAATAAAAAAACAAAATAGGAAATTCTGGATATCAGTACAATGTAATAGATTATAAAATATTTACTTAACTATTCCTAAAAATGGGGAGCAGGGGAACTCAATCAATATACAGATAATACTTAGAATGTTTGTCTCTGTAAAGAATAGCTTAGATAGGCATAGTCTCAAATCAAAGAGAGATCCCAGGGTTGTGGCTTATTATCTAAGAGAAGTTTGTACTTTAGAAAGAATTAGCAGAAGACCTTGTCTTTCCCACTCTACAGCAGAAGCTGACATCTCCCCAAAGATGCTCTGCACCTTTCCTCTTGGTATTTGGCCATTACTTGAAAAAACACTAGGTTTCAGGTGAGGCCCCAGGGAAAGCCAACTCTTGTGATGAAACCAGACCACTGAAATGAGTACGTGGAATTCACGTGTTGCAGGTAAAGCCTGTGCCAGTTAGTTTCTCTGTAATTGTGTTGAATGTCCTGAGAAGCGTGAATGTGTACAGCTAGACATGGCCAGCTATGATCCTAATGAGTTCAGGTCCTGTTCTCTGCCTGATATAGACTAAAACAAACAAGGATGCTGGGAACCAGGAGGTTGAGATTGCCCGCTGCCACAAGGGACAGTACTTTGGAGAGCTCGCATTAGTCACCAACAAGCCTAGAGCTGCTTCAGCTTATGCAGTTGGAAATGTCACCTGTTTAGGTAAGAAAAATTCTTCATGCATTAATACCTTTTTCTAATGTGCAGGATTTTTTTCCCATCAGCAGGCCTTGCTTTATTCTACCAGCTGTCACTCACATTTAGGCATGGACAGTTTGTGTCACCAACCAGAGATGGGATAATATTTTCTTTCAGTGAACTTTTTCAGTGGGAGTTTACTGGACATTGAACCCAGCGCCTCACACATGCTAAGCCACACACCACCCTTGAGCTACAGTCCCAGTACCCTAATAGACATCTCTGAGCACTGAGTACAGCCTGTGAGACAGGCACCCCCCCATCCAGTCATCTGAAAAGAGCAGGAAGGCTATGCAAAGACAGAGCAAGTAGGTACTCTTGGACTCTCTAAATTTTAAATTTACTGAATTATTATCTTGGATGGAATCCCCTTATCTCCCCCCTTTTTAAACTAGAGACAGTGACTTGCTAATTTGCTGAGTTACCCAGGCTGGGTTTAAGGTTGGGATCATCCTGTCTCACTGCCTCAGAGTTCTGGGATTATAGCTGTACACTCCTACACCTGTCTTGCAAATCCTAAATTTAGACGACCTCATCTTGCTCCATTCATGCAGAGACAGCTCTTTTTCCAAGAACCTGTGAGTTAGTGTGTTTATGTATTCCTGTGGGTATATTTAGAAGAAGGCTGGCATGGGGGAAATTACTTGAATTCTTTGTGTAGAAAACTCATTCTCCCCCCCTCCCCCGCCCCTTCTTTTTAACAATACAGTTATGGATGTTCAAGCATTTGAGAGACTCCTGGGGCCCTGCATGGACATTATGAAGAGAAATATCTCACACTATGAAGAGCAGCTAGTGAAGATGTTTGGCTCCAGCTTGGATCTGACCGACCCTGGACAATAGATGTGCCACTTCCCAGAGCCTTCTCAGTGTGACACCAGACCCCTTCCAGTCAGCCCCAGAACATGTCCAGAAAATAGACATGACAGAACCGTTCCTGCTGTTGCCTCCACTGCTGCGATTGCTGTGGTTTGGGCATTTAGAAAATTTGAAAGCACTGAAGGATGAGCAAGAGATTTGACCCACACCTCCACTTTGCGTCTGAAAGCCCATTATTAAACCACTCATGATGATTACTCCAGCGGTTTTCACATCTTTGGTTCAGAATGGCATGTCTCTCCAACAATTTAAGTGCCTGATACAAAGTCCAAAGTGTAAACATCTTCCTTTCCTCTTGCTGCTACTTACTACTTTTGGAAGTTACCCTAAAGTCTGCAGAAACCTGTTGTACAACTGTAAACACCCTCCTCCAGACTTTTTCAAAGGAGGAAATATAACCGTCAGTCTCCTGTCCTTTGAGAAAGTCCATAATGTGTTCACAATTGCTGCCTTTGATTTGATAGTAGGAAATGGTATCAGGTGTGATGCAGGTCCGTGGTCACTGGCATGATACTGCCTGCTGACAGCTTCACATATCAGACCGTTTGCAAGCCCACACTGATACTTAAAGAAAGGCAGGTTAGTACTTCAGAGCAGACTGAGGATAGAACCCATGTTGGAGCTTTAAACTTTGGATTTAGTACGTTTTACCAGTAGTAGAGAGCCAGGAAAGGTTTCGCTGGGTTAGAAGTTTTTCCTTTTGTTTTGGTGGATGTCATGTTTAATTCTGCAGTTTACATGAGTGAATGAATTGCCATCCATTTATAAGAAGCCAAGAGTGGCCATTGAGCACATTTGGCTAGTGTGTGGTACCGGTTGGTAGAAGGTGCTGTTCTTTATCTGAATTGAATACTCAACAGGTCCTGCCATCTCATGTTCCCAGATGCTTCTACTAGCAAGTGGCAGTATGTTGGCAAGAAACTGTGCTGTGCAGGTAGCCATTTGCTTCTGCTTGAGTTGCTGCATAGTTTGGTTGTTGAACCATCTATTTTTAAACTCTTCATAAGCTTTTTTTTTTTTTTTTTTTAAAGAAAGTTTTTCAGTGAGAAATGGTGGTGCATACTTGTAGTTCCAGCACTTGGAGGCTGAGACAGGAGGATTTCTTCCAAGTTTGAGGCCAGCCTATGCTATATATTGAGTTCAAGGCCAGCCTGAACTACATAGCAAGATCCTGTCTCAAAAAAGGAAAAAAAAGTTATCTGTTAAGGGAATTCCCATTGGATGTATTCATCTGTATGTAGCTTGCCAGCTGCCCAGATAGTCATTCTAAAGTTCCAAAAATTGTTGGTGTTACTTTCCAAAAACTGGCATCACTGGGACTGGGGACATAGCTCAGTGGTAGTGTACTCAATTTAACAAGCATGAAGCTTTGGGTTCAGTCCTCAGCACCATACAAAAGAGAACAAAAAGCATCACTTTCAGTTTCATAAAATGACTGAAGACCTAATTCAGATATTGGGATATTTTGGGTTCTACTTGTTTATCCCCAAAGATGATGATTTAAGTTGTATTTAAAATATTTTTTAACCTTTTAATTTTAGCACGTAAAATTATAATGATCCTAATTAGCTGTATTTCAGAATGATTTTTTAAAATTCAGAATGACTTAGACTCAGATGCTACAAGGGATCCATGAAGTAGAACTCCTTTTCAGACTGCCCTGGGTAACCTGTGTTGCAACTCTGAGACTCATGAAAGGTTGTGTGTAATTAATACTCCAAAACAGGCAGCTAGCACTGGGAAAGCCCCCTGTGGTAATCCCACATCTTTTTAAGGTTCTTTTCTATAGTGTTGCTTTGTTGTCCAGTAAATGCAGAAAGCTGGCCTTGTACTTTACCAGACAAGAATCACAGCTGTTTCTTGCAAAGATAGCAGGTGCATTGGGCTTCAAGAGTGACACAGAAGTTCAGCCCCAGGCCTTGTCAGGACTGCTCAGATGCTGAGAAGACATGCTGTGTACTTTTTCATGCCAGCATCGGTTAGGTCCCTCCGAATCCTGTGCCAGTTACTCTGTCAGGCTGCAGGAGCGGGCCTTCTCACAAGTCCCCCTCTTTCCTTTTACAAAGCCCTCCTTGTCATCATGACGCATTGATGGTACTGTTCTTAAGTGAGAACTCAACAATTTCATGTCCTGCTTTAAATCCAGTGAACTTAGGCTCATCAGTCCAGACTCTGACTGCATGTGAGTCCCCTGGGCAGGGGAGTAGAAGAGACAGGCCTCTAGCTTGGGGGAAGGGGACATTGAGGAGCCGCGTGAGAGAGGAAGAACAAAGCCATTACCACTGCATCCCACTCTCCTTTTCAGCCTTGAGTTGGCAGACCAAGTTTGACAGGGCTAGTGTCCCCAGCGAGCTCGGCACTGACAGCTGAGGCTCACAGAGAGGAACACATATTGGAAAGGGATTCCTTTGTTGTGTCATGTTTTCATTTAAGGGTTCGAGCTTCGTGCTCTCTTTCCTATTTTTGTTATTGATTTTGGATGGCACAGAATGTTTCTGAGAGGCTTGAGGTCCAACCTGCAATATTTCCCTTCCTTTGGCCCTGTTTTTCTCTCTCTCTCCTCTTGGCTGAATTTTCTGAAGGAAAAGTTTGTGTTTTTACTCTCTTGGTCCATAGTCTCCATATAGAATTATTATGTTACATATAATTGTTATATAGTCTCAGAAACCAAGAGGGAGGTTTCTCTGAGCAATTTAGTGAGCGAATTCAGCAGCAAAGTGGCAAGCAGTAGTTCTCCAGCCAAGAGAGATGGTGTTTACCCCAAGTGCCCAGGTCCCGTGCTCACGGTGGGCGTCCCGGGCAGCACAGCATGTCGGGTCGTGTCACAAAATGCAGTCTACTCTCATTTAGAAAAAGCAGAAGCATTTTGCACAGAGACAAAGGAAAAAGACCCATGAATGTCATCTTTTATCTTTTGTTCTCAATGGGCTGCTGTTAGAATTTTTGTTTTTGACAGGCACTTGTAAAATCAGTCTAGCTAAGATACAAGTTGTTCTGGTTGTTCACTGTTGTTACCTCTTGTTCCTCTTGTCTTGACTGCTGATATTCCTCAGTGATTCTTATGTCTTGTTATGGGAAGCAGCCTTCCCATGAGTTTCCTTTCACACACTAGCAGGGCTATCTTTATACTTTTAAAACAAATTTAAAAAAATAAATAAAAAAAGAATGAAAGAAAACTGTCACTAATCTCATGGGGGGATTTTCAGAGAATCATTTAGCCCACCTTGATCAAAAGGTAGAGTCCTCATTGTTTTTTTAAGCTTGTAATAAAAAGATACCGAATTCAGCATTATTGTGCTACCTCACAGGTAAAAATGTTTTAAGGTTATTTTTTAGTCCTGAGTTCTACACAGTGTTTGAAATGTCTTTCAGTTGGAATTTTTTTAAGTCGTCGGGGTGATTCTTATGTTAACTTGTTTTACACTTGTACTTTAATCTCAGAAGAATGATTGGAAAGCAATCAGTTTTTCTGTGGTATTGAATATACTTATAATTAAAAATCATTAAGAGTTAAATCATTGTTTGCCATGAGCAAAGTTGAGGTTTTTTTAAAGGAAACTCTAGGGCTTGGCTTCCCTCTTGGTTAATAAAGGCTGACAAATCCTGTCTGATTGTCTAGTGGTCTTGTGTCTTTTCTCTCTCTTCCAGATCATCACAGGACTCATCTGGGAAATGTGCTTTCAGGTATTTGAAACAGATTTAGGCTGACCTTAAACTCACTATGTAACTTGGGTTGATGCCCATGTCAAACTCAGGTAACCTTCCTGCTTCGGCCTCCCAGGTGCTGGGACTACAGGTAAGCACCAGCACACATCTGGCAGATATGGTCTTTAGATTAGTGTATGGGCTCCTAAAAGGTAGAAGACCTGGGGTCACTACTGAGGGTTTGTCAAAGAAGCAATGAGAGAGAGACCTTTAGTTTCAATCTTGAGTCCAAAGGCTAAAGAACCAAGAGAGCTAGTGCTACAGTTATTGTGTAAACGCCAGAAGGCTCAAAGCTCAGAAAGATCTGATGTTTCTGTTTGAGTCTGAAGGCAGTATGAAAGCTACGGTGTCAGTTCAGAGGTAGTCATAAGGGAAAATAGTTTTCTACTTGGGAAAGGTTAGGCTTTTTATTCTAATCATGCTTTCACCTGATATATAAGATTCACCACATTAGAGAGAGCAGCCTGGGTTTTTGTTTTTTTTCAGCTTACCAAGTTAAATGTTAATCTCACCCAGAGCCAATAATGAGTGATTAAATATCAGAACTCCATGGCCCAGCCAAGTTGATACAATTAAAAAACATGGTCCCACTATGTAGTTAAGGCTGGTCTTGATTTCATTATGTACTCAGGATGGGTTCAAGCTCATGGTGGCCCTCCTGCCTCAGGCCCTGAAAGGCTGGGTTTGTAGGTGTGTACCACTACACTCACACTCAGCTCATTCCTGACACTTCAAACCTAAAGGATTAGCAGCTGCTGAGGTCCATCCTGGGCTTCCTGGATGTCTTCATCACTTTCTTGCTGCTAAGACACCACAGTTTAAAGGAGGAAGAGGTTTATTTCAGTTCAGAGGTCAGTCTGTGGGTAGACCACAATGGCAGAATACCATAGCAGGAAAAAGCAGCTCATCTTCCGGAAGCAGATCAAGGAAGGAGCTAGGAAAGGAGACACACCCATCTAGGTCATGCCTATAGAGACTGCCAATCCAGCTCCTAGCAGCATATCAGCTTTAAGGCTCCCATAATTCATTACCTTCCACTAGCCTCACCTGTGAGAGCATGAGGCTCTGGGGAGCATCTAGATATAAACCATAACATTCTGTTCTTGGCCCCCGAAAGGCTTGTGCACCTCTATATATAAAAATACATTTATTCTAACTTTTTTTTTTTTTTTTTGAAACAGGGTCTCACTGTGCAGTTCAGGCTGGCCTTGAGCTTGCTTTGTAGCCCAGGCTGGTCTTCAGCTCACAGCAATCCTCCTGCCTCGCCTCCTGAGTTAGTCTAGCTCTTTAAGAGTTGCCAAAACCCTAACAGCTTCAGCATTGCTGAAAACTCTTTAAGTCCAAGGTCTCCTCTGAGACTTAGTGAACTTTTAGTTGTGAGCCCCTATAAAAATCAATAAACTGCTGACACAGTGGCACAAGGTAAACATTCCATAAGAGAACATTTCTCATTCCAAAACAGAAAAATGGGGTAGAAACCAGTGGGATGGGCTGAGGATTTAACTCAGTGGTGCAGTGCCTGGGAAACATAGTCCTGAGTTCATTCCCAGTACCTGCCCACCCCCCAAAAATAAAGCAATCCATGAGACAAAACAAAACCAAAACTCCACTTGGCACACATCAGATCTTGTGGGTGTGTGGCCAGCACCCAGGACAAAAGTGTACTCCATGGCTTGGGCAACCCCACCCCCTTGTCATCACCTGTGGTTGTATCTTCCATGGTTTCTCTTTTGGACTGATTGGCTTTGCTCACTCTTATGGCCTTCCACGCTGGCTGCCCATGTGCCTGACTGTGGAGTCTCCACTGCACTGTTGGCTTCATGCACTGCCATTGAAGAGCACACTGCCTGACCTCCCAGGCTTTCTTCTGAAATTGGTTGCAGGTATCTGAGTGGACACTTAGAGCGCAGTGACCTGTTCCGGCCTGGAGCCCACAACTGGACAGCTGACAAGTGGGGTGCTTAAGACTACTAGTCTAGGTCTGTGGTGGCCAGGGAGAAGGAGGCCTTTGAGGTATACAGTGCTGTATAGGCAGCATTACAAGGGCAGAGGACCCACGCTCAAGCTGCATGCTGCAGTTTACCACTTTGACCAGTAGGGGTCGGACTGTCCGTATGCTGGCTTGGGCTTCAGGCAGCCTCCCCGCTAAAGGTGAGAAATGAGGCCTCTAGGCTCAGAGTCAACCAAGGAGACTTCGCTGGCATCTGAAAAGAGGGGCAGTGCTAGCACCAGAGCTTCCCTGGAAAAGGGTACTGCTGAGTGGAAGGCAGAAGCCCCTCAGCCCCCAGAGCTTGGGTACCACCCTCACACTGGAAATGAATGGTCCTACCCAGCTGGTGAATGAATCTCCTGAATGAAGCTGCCAGTGAAGGACTGACTAATCCTCATCCCAGGCCTCCGCTGGCCCCTCTGTCCCCGCAGGGTACAGAGGCTTCCTGCAGGGTCTCCATCCCTGCTGTCCCCTGCTTTTCCTGCAAGCCCTCTGGCTCACAGCAAAACCAGCTCCTACTCTCTGACCCCAAGCTGGCTGCAGAACTGCAAATGGGAGGACACCACTTCCTCCCAAGGGAGGACAGCCAGGGCAGGCCCCACGGAGGTGACCTGGTTCAAAGGGCTGGTGCATGACCTGCAGGCAGGAGCACATTAGGAGTGTGGTGCTGGGCCTGCTGAGCCTGGACAGCCTTCCAGCACAGTGGGAATTTCTCAGCTGCCTCTGGTGCTGTGTAGTCCCAACATGCTGCCGACAGGGTGTGTACATCCAGGATGTGCTGGGAGTGGCCTCCGCCTCTGCCCTGTGGGACCCTTTCCTTTGAAATTGTCCTGCCTTTTGTTCTGCAAGAGTGTCTTGTGAATGACTGGAGCCCTCTCCCTGTGTGGCTCATGTCCTGGAGCTGTGGGTATCATAGGGGCTGCAGGCCATGGGAGATGTGAGTACCAGAGCCCTACCAGATGGGAACATCATGTCACCAGCCTGGAGATGCAGGTCCCACCCTTAGATGATGAAGATCAGAGTGATGCAAACAACTGTGCAGTCCAAGGAACAGCACAGAGAACGCGATTCAGATACCTGTGCCCAGATCCCAGTCAAGAAGAGAACTTTCTCATTCCCCAACCAGACTCAGAAGAGAAACAGCCACACACGTGCCTTGGCATGGAAGCACCCCTCTGACCAGAGACCATTATAGGGCTAAAGGAGGAGCCACCGCCTGGACCCTTAACTTGTTACTCATTAAAAGTACAAATCTGTATTTTCTTCTGAAGCAGTTACTTCAGAGCTGTTTTTGCTGAAGTCGGTAACTCTTCACGTGGCTCTACAGATATCCAATAGGAAACTAAGAACAAAGCTTGTGTTATAACTCGTGCCCCGGTATAAAATCCAAGGAAACAAGAGACCGAAAATTTAGGTAGCAAAGGCTTTATTTCCAGGCCTGGTGACAAGTCTCCGGGAGCCAATTTGGAGACTGTGTCCCAGAGACTGAAGGGAGGACTTTAAAAAGAGGCTGGAGGGAAAGGGTGCGAGGGAGAAACAAAGAAACCTGCAGAGCCATCAAACTTGTTGACCCGAGTCTGGAAACTGTATTGCTGTCCACTTAGCTCTGACAATCTCGGGAGTTCCTGGTGTTTCTCAAATTACTCCCATCCCACAGACTGACATTATCTCGGAGTAGCACATCTGCAGCAATATTTGGGGAAGAAAGTGGGCAGTTAATTATCTCAGGACAGCTTGTTTTCGCCAGTGGGTGCGAAGGGGTCAAGAGTTATAAGAAGCTGAAACTTAAGTTTTACAAAGATATGATATCTAACTCATTAGATGCATATAGAACAAAAGGAAAGCACCGGTTGGGGTTTGGGCCATAGTATTTCCCGGTAATTTCTTTGAAGCTAAACAGTTCTTAAAATTGGGGCAGGCTCATTTTATGACAGATCACTACCAGGTCGGGAAGAGGTCACCAGAAACCCAAATTTCTATACAAAGAATTTGTATAGACCCAGCTATACAAAACAGGCTGAGAAACCCAAATTCTTTATGGCCTAGATAGATAGGTGAGGGGAGAGGGAGGCAATAAGGTGCCATACAGAACAAAGAACGGCGGTTATGTGTCAAGGTCAGGTAGAGGGTTAAACTCATACGCAAATCTCTCTGCACACAAGCAAGTTACTTCAAATAAGTGTAAATTAATGGGCCATTCTAGTTTTCTTTAGCTCTTTAGCAGAGAATAGAGGCGCCTAACAGTGATTAACAACCCTTGTTAGCTTGTTTTAGCACAACTTCTGTAGTTTGTAGAGGGCAACAATGGTTAACATATCAATTAGGTGAGATTCTTGCAATTCTTTACAGAGGAGAGTATTGCTCAACATATCAATTAGGTCACTTAACATATCAGTTAGGGAAAAAGGATTAAAAAAAAACACATTTAGTAAGCCACATTGCAGGTTTGCTATAATACACATATAACGAAGCTATTTTCTTAGAGTACAACAGCTTGAACTTCATTTTTGTACATTTTTTACCCTGAAATGCTGGATACAGGCATATTAGAAGTTTAGGAAAAGTGAGCAACTCCAGGTTCATCCGCCCAAGCCTGTCTCATTCAAGTTAAGAGTTACTGAGGTTTCAGGATTCACAGGGACATCTGATTTTCATCTTTGACAGCCCAGGCCCTGCTGTTCTCCCCATGACCAAGCCTGGAAATCTAATCCTGGAATCACCTGGGCCCCACGCAAAGCAAAGCAGAACCTCATGTGATTGAAACCACGGTAAACATCCTGGAAATCAAATTGCTCTTCAACATGTGAGGATTTCTCCAGAGCTTTGGAAACTAAACCGGAGATTACAATTGGATCACAGCCCAGAAGAGAGCCCCATTAAGCTGGCCTCCTGGTCTGGTCCTCTCCACCAG